TCATCTGAACATTTTGGAGGAAAAAGAGCGGAATTTCACTGGGTATAGCTAGTACTAAATAAAATTTTTGTTAGTTACTAACCTAGCCGTCATGAATATTCAGATTTGGCAGAGATTCAGATGTTTGATCGGCCTTCACATACAATTTGTTAAATTAAAGTTTTTATCGCTACTAATGATTTTATGAAAAATTATATCTTTTGATGGCGTTTAAGTCCGATTTCGATGACTTCCCACAAATTACGCTCTGTTGACGCAAAATTCAATACACCTTAATGTTTGCACTTGTTCTTTTAATAATTAACTAAATAACGACAAAGGAGGGATGGTATATCATCCTTTGTAAGTCCCATATTTTTAAGTTATACAACCAGTAGTCTTATTATCTTACTATTTAAGAGGTGAGTATTTAAAGAACAACTAGGGTCATTTGTACCTATAAGCCATGAACTACTCTTACTAAAATCGCTGCAAACGTTATATTACTTCGTTTATAAAACATTGCGTGTAACCCTTTACCTAATTTTTCTCATTTAAGTTTCGATTCTTTTGGTTATTTAATCATCATAAACTATTCATAATTTTTTGGGTAATTAATCCACTTATCACATTAATTACAAAATAAATCACATAAACAAAAATGAAACCTAAACTATTAGTATAAATACCGCCTACTTGGAATCAACCCAATTCAAATAAAATTCAACAATCTCTAACTAAACTAAACAATTCAAATCAAAATAATATAAAACGTAAGCAACACCCATCATACAACAATCAAGTTACATCCAACTACAATCCATCACAAGCTCCAACTCATTAACTAAATTTAACACAAAACAAAAAAAGTTACAAATTAAAACAATAATAATAAATATGATTAAAACGCCAAGTCTTTCGGATAACTTTGCCATAAAAGAATGCGATAGAATCTCGGCTGCCCGTGGTTTACTTAAACTAATGAAAATCATGGGCATTTGGCAATGGAAGAGGGAATACACAGATGAAAAGGAATTTCAACATTATCAAAGATTGCAATACATACAAAGATTCTGCATACACATGCCCATCACCTTCACCTACATTACACTGATGTGGCTTGAGGTCTTTCTATCACCAGATTTAGATCAGGCCGGTGATGTTCTCTACATGTCATTTACCGAGGCTGCTTTAGTGGTGAAAATTCTCAATATTTGGCATTATTCAATTAAGGCAATGAATTTTATCAATGAATTGGCTTATGGAGAAAATTTTCAACTAATTAGCCAAGAAGAAATTGTGCTGTGGCAACGCAAACAGAAAATGTTTCGTAATATTATAATAACGTTTCTAACCTCTAGTGTGTTTACAGTAACGGCTGCCTCAGTTGGGGTGCTATATGGAGATGACTATCAGTTACCGTTTGCTTATTGGGTTCCCTTTGAGTGGCACATGAATAAAAGGAATTATTGGATTGCATATGTTTATAATGTTTTTGGAATTGGTGTAACTGCCATAACAAATGTTTGTATGGATATGATTGGTAGTTATTTTCTATTTCATACATCTGTTTTGTATGAAATATTGGGTTTACGTTTATTGCATCTCAAGGCTGCTGCAGAGAAAGATGTTGTTAAGGAATTGAGGAAAATTTTTAAATTTCACAAAAATGTTAGGAGGTAAGTTGCGCGATGGGTGTAATAAAAGAAAAAATTGTTTGACTTGTTTTGAGGGTTTTGACTTACATATATTTTCGAATTCCAAGAGTTTTTGAGAATCATTTAGAGCTTTTTCAACTGCTTGTTTTTTTAGAACCATCTTCTTGTTAAAAAGTAAGGAACTACGTGTTCTTGAGTTATACTGTTGCTTTAACTGGTATGTTCATTCTATAATCAATCCCTCGAAGACTTTTTCCTCCAGTTTCAATTCCACAAGAAGGACATATCGAAAGAGTAGAAACCTAGAAAAATTTTTCTTAATAGTTTAAGGATTTCTAAAGCCCAATTAAGCATATCGATATCAACATCTGTCCGTCTGACTAATTTTTATTTATCCTTTTTAAAGGACCATTAAGGTCTCTTGTAAAATGGATTTTAATGCAACTCCTACTTTATAATATTTTTTCCTGGGCACATCTAATTTTTTCACACTACTGATTTCTGAGCAGTTGAACTATATTATCTTCAATAAAAACCACAGTATTTTAATCAGCACCCAAACATTAAAAATAACTTTTAATTCTCCTAAATATTTATGTATTTGTTTCTCTTTAAATTATAGAATGACTCGAGAATGTGAGACATTGGTATCATCATATGCTCTGTCACAAATTGTTTTGAGTGCGTTTATTTTATGTTTCTGCGGTTATCGTATACAAAAGGTCTTTTTTTTTACATCGTAGCACCCTATAACAATGTAACTCTTTTCCCCCATCTTTTCCCTTTTCTATACGTAGATGAACATTTTGGAAAGTCTTGGTCAATTCTATTCGATGTTACAATTTTTGTTCGTTATGATTTTAGAAATTTATTTACCCTGTTATTTTGCCAACGAAATAACTTGGAATTCCTCACTATTGTGTACTCAAATTTACAGTTCGGAATGGTTAAAGTTTTCCATACCCACTCGTAAACTTATTTATGTGTACATGGAATTTGTAAAACACCCGGAAAAAGTAAAAGCTGGTAATTACTTTGATGTTGGTCTACCAATATTTACCAAGGTTTGTTAAAGGAAACTTATATTGGTTCTTTATGTTTATGTTTTTGCTTTTTTTGTAATTGGTCTAAAATGTTTTGTATTAAGTTTACTTTATATTTCTTATGGTTTTTTGATTTTAAAAGGAAATATTGATTTAATTACATTTTTCTTCTTGTACACATAAAATATTTGGTTTCATTTTAGGTGATGAATAATGCTTATTCGTTTTTTGCTCTCATAATGAATGTGGAAAAGTAAAAAATGGAAATGAAAATTTTTGGAACATGAACAAATTTTAAGATAAATTTCTAAGAATTTTATTTAATTTAATATTTGTGTTTATTTTTAAATATATTTTTTTAATAATTATGACATTAAAAATTAATAAAATAAATAAAACCCTTTAGTTAGTTAGTTAGAACTAAATAAAACCCTTTAAAGCAAACTTTTTCCAAAAGGACATTATTTTACAGAATGTTCTTATGATTTCTATCGATTAATGCCTTTCTTAAAGATATTAAGGTGGCTCAAAAATTAAAGTTGTTAAAAGTTTCTTTATTCATTCTTAGATGGCATTTCTTAAAATGTTGGTCCTGACGTCAATATTTGATGGTTCAAAGGACAAAAATATATGTACCTGTTTACGGTTTTCATGATTTTTTCTCACAAAGAAAATGTATATATGCAATTTAGAATGATCCTTGATGGGCACTTTCAATGTCATATTTATTTGCGATCACAAAACTATTCCGAAATTTTTTACTTTTGGGAGAAATTATTGGTCATGCCCACATACAAAACAAGTAAGAAACTATAGTCTGGCGTGGCCGGACATATGATACCCTACACCATTTGCGAGTATTAAATGTGATTAATTTTCAATAATAAAGTATTTAAGTTAAATCTTACATAGGTTCCAAATATATGTTCATGTACGGTTGAACGCTGACTAGGAGAAATAAAATACGGATTTCAATAGCTTTCAACATGGGACAAATTTTAACAAATTATATTGAAAATTGCAAGCTGTACAAGGTTTACACGGTCACAAAGATGGACACTCTACAGGATGCGACCTGTAGAGTGCGCACAAGGTTTACATAGACACACAGACAGACAAACGGACGTACAGACATAGCTTAATCGACTCAGGAAGTGATTCTGAGCCGATTAATACCCCCTTCTGAGCCGCATAATACCCTCCCCACTATAGTGGTGTAGGGTATATTTACTATTAAAAGTCGCATTTCTGAAAAACAGTTAGAGTTCACAAATTTTTATGGAACCACTTCTGAGTCAGTATGGGTATTTAAGACAAAAAGAGAGTGGATTAGTAATAGGGAGCGTGGTACTTCCCATATAATTTAAAATTCATATATATGGGAAACTATTAGACCTAGAATCTTACAATTTAGCACGAAGAACTTTAACGTTCATGTGGACATTTTGGATAAAAAATGTGCGGACTTTCTGAGAAACTATTAAAGCTAAAACCCTTAAATTTAGCACGAAGAACTTTGGGGAAAATGGGCGGGCTTGTGTTACTATTAGAGCTAAATTCCTTAAATTTAGCACTAAAACTCTGACATCATTGTTAACATTTGGGTAAAAAATTGGTGGACTAGCAAACTTGCAATAGTTGGCGTGACATAGAACCTTATATATACTTTCTTTACAGACTAAATCGTGTTATTCTGATTTTATTTCGTTTTAAATGTCCAACAGCATTATATATTTAAAGACCCATCCGAACGATCCAGATCCGAAATCTTTCGAGTTTGCATAGCAGGTACTACAGAACTGTAAGATGTATTGATTTGACGTTAAAATATAACATACATTTAAAGTTGATCCGAATGAAATACATACATTCGACCCACCCTATTGTCTAGTTCTTAATTTTCTTTGTTAACAAAACACATGCGGTTTTGTTTACAATATTTAAATACTAATATCTAACCCCTTTCTTAATTAGGGTCCTTATTTAATTATTGGTGTGGAGAGTTATTGAATAATACCGTGTAACAATTTTAAAGAAAATTGTCTATACATGACTCGACATGGAAAAAGTGAAATCGTAGTATTACTCTGTATAGTCTATAAGTAGTTGCAATCATATATTGACATTTTCATATATGTATGTATATGACTGGCTGTTGCACGGTGTAATTAAAAATTCGTGTTAAATTTTATAATAATTACACCCAAATTATAGAAAACAAACTGTCTGAAATACTTAAATTGTTTGATATAAGTTAAAACAAACAGTTAGATTTAAATAGATTAAATCAAAACGTTAACAGAAATAAACGTCAATCAGCATGAATAGAATTACACCGATATCGAACTCGAAATCCATAGAAGATTGCGACAAAATAGCGGGAGCTCGTGTGTTATTAACAATTTTAAGATTTGTAGGCTTATGGCCCTGGCAGAGTGAATATAAAAATAAAAATCAAAGGCTGTTAAAATCAAAAATACAATTATTACAATGTGTCATTATACATGTACCTGCTACTTTGTTATTTTGCTTACTAATGTGGGTGGAAGCATTCACTTCGTCCGATTTAGATGAAGCTGGAAATGTGTTATATATGTCATTGGCTTTAAGTGTTTATATAGTAAAATTTATAAATATCCGGATATTAGCCAAGAAAGCCACTTCATTTATTTATGCACTAGAGTACAATAGTTTATATGATTTACTTACACCCGAAGAAGCGGACATGTGGTCAAAACATCAGAAAAGTTTTCGTAATGTAGTGATAATTTTCACTAGTGGTAGTGTTTTTTCGGGTGTTTTCGCTTTTGTGGGTGTATTATTTGATAATGAATATCGTTTGGGTTTTCCCTATTGGTTGCCATTTGAATGGCGTAATCCAGAGAGATATTGGTATGCTTACGGTTTTAATGTCGCTGGCATATTGGTATCCTGCTTATCGAATGTCAGTTTGGATATGTTGGGTTGTTATATGATTTTTCATATTGGTTTGCTGTACAAACTACTGGGTATGCGTTACTCTAGTATACGATCTATAAGCGAAATTGAAGCCATTACAGAGTTGAGGAAGTTATTTGTAATGCACTCGAGTATAAAAAGGTGAGTTAAAGATGACAATATAATTGAAATACACATTTTAATTGCTAATATCTTTCATAGAATGACCAAAGAATGCGAAATATTAATTTCCTCCTACGTCTTAGCTCAAATAATATTCAGTGCTTTGATAATATGTTTCTGTGGTTATCGTTTACAAAGCGTAAGTCTACAAGTTCCAAAATATACATATATTTGTTACCAATTTTTAATCTTTCCTTTTTCTAAGTTAAACATTTTAGCCGAATTAAGTCAATTCTTTGCCATGCTACAATTTCTAAGTGTCATGATTTTGGAAATTTATTTACCCTGTCATTTTGCCAACCAAATTACTTTAAATTCAGGAAATTTGATAAATCACATCTACGACTGTGAATGGTTGCAGTTTTCTATAGTCAATCGCAAATTTGTATGTTTGTATATGGAATTTTTTAAAAAACCTGTACGTTTAAGAGCTGGAAAATTCTTCGATGTTGGTTTACCCATATTTACAAAGGTTTGTTAAAGAAGTTGAAGTATAATATAAAATTTGTTTTTAACCTAAAAATTTACTTTTTTAGGTAATGAATAACGCCTACAGTTACTTTGCTTTGTTATTAAATATTGAGAAATAAAAAAGTATTTTTGAAACTGGTTTTATTGGCCTAATAATTTGCATTCATGCTGGATTGGAATAATTATTAATCACATTTTTTATTTAAAACGGTTTACCTTCTCGATCACTCTCTATCAGTCCTCATAAACGTATGATGAATATTTTTCATACTAATATTCAGTATATGTACATCTTTGTTGTACAATCTCCTAGAGTTGCTCATATGCTGGCTTATTTGTATAACCTACACCACTATAGTAAGGAGAGTATTATGCGTTTGTGCTGATGTTTGTAACACCCTCATATATGGGTCATTCACCTTAAAGTATACCAAACGACCCAGAATCACTTTCTGAATCGATTAAGCTGTCTGTCTGTCTGTCTGTGTGTCCATGTAAACCTTCTGCGCACGGTCTACAGAACACAATTTTCTAGAAAATTTGATAAAATATGGCACATACTTCTGCCTTGACCCAAGGACGAAGCCTATTGAAAATTGTTGAATCCGGTCTATACTCGACTATACATTTTTTTATTTTAATAACTACACACAGAGAAAAAAGAAGTTTTAAAATTATACACGCTTGGTACCAAATTGACAAAAGTGTTTATAATTTTTCAATAACATGTGTTGTCAAAGTATGTACGGATAGTTGTCAAATCAACAACAAAAATATAAAAAATACTCGGCGTTATCAAATCTACAAAAAAATAATAAAGATTCGATCTACGACTGGCGCCTAACTATGAAAATCTAAAATTTTTCATAATATTTATATGGGGTATCGATTCCGAGTAAAAACGATGTGTTATAAAAGTGACAACGCTATGTTGTCAAACAGAATGTTTCGTTGTCGAAATTACAACGATGCATAGCTGAAGTGACACAAACCGTAATCAAAATTACAACAATGTGTTGTTGCAATGACAACGATGCGTTGTTAAAATTACAACGGTGGTTGTCGAAACGATAACTGGGTGTTATTTACATTTTATACACATCCGTTCTTAATATTAACAAACATGATAAGCTCACTTTTGGCCACGGATTGTATCAATTTCTGTAATTTTCAACCGGTTTTTTTTTTTTTGATAAACTATCCTCGAGTTTTGAAATATGCTAGGAATAAACCTTCACTATTATACTCTTACTGGATAACCTTCAAAATGTTCTATGACAGTTCTAATAAGGTTCTTTATGTCAGACACAAAACAGACTAAATGTTGATGGAAATGTTTAAAAAACATCTAAAACTCCTTAACATTATAGTCAGAGGGCTATAGGGTTAAAAAAACTACTTGTATAATTTTCAAATTGGTGTTCATATAGGTAGTGAATCACTTTCCCAATTATTTAAAATACTGTCACTAGGGGAGGAAAATAGTCGGCTGAATTTTATATACCTACTACCAAAATAAATATTGTAAATTTGAAGTGAATTTCGGAAGAAGGATAGGTCTTTTTTCATTTCATTATCATATATTTGATATAGACAATGGGCAATATCGGACTACGTAGCCCCCATGCAAGTATAAATACCAATATAGGAATAAAAAAATGCCATTTACAAAAAACCTAATTACTTGGCAATAAATCTCTCAAATTATTTAGAGCACTGGACATAATTAATCAAATATTTTGATGCTATAAATATACTACGATTCGGCATAACTGAAAATAACACTCATACGTGTTAACTTTCCAGGAAATAATTTAAAGTACGCGTTTTTATTCATCCCAAATTCCAATTATCACAAATACTAGTGAATTGAAATCTACTTATTATAACCAGAAATGATTGTAAGGTTTTAAAACGCACTGAAATAATTAACACACTGCATTTTAGCCGGAAAACAAACTCTAGTGTATTGTAGTTTATGCCATTTTTATACAGGAGTTTTGCGTTTAAATGACAAACAAAGAAATAACAACTGAAAATTTACAAAAAAAAAGGCGAACAAGATTCTTCATTATGTCGCTGTTAATTGTTTTCTGTGCTGGAAGTCTATTCTAACGAACTGCACGTTTTAATTTTGTTTATACTCATATTTATAGATGTATGTTTAAAGGGTACCCTGCAGTTAAAACAATGAAAATTTTCTTTTTGGCAATGGTTTGCGATCAACAACATTATAAGATGATTCTTAATTCTTGAATAAATAGTTACAGTCAAAGTAAAAATAGTCATAGCCAAATCGAAATTAGTTCTCAAAACTGCAGGGTTGATATTTTGACTTTATTTAATTTTCATGTTCATTTTATATTTATACTTTAAGTTTTTTTTTAATTTGTGCTAAGCCAGAGGTGGTTTATTTTGTCCATTTCTAGCATTTGTTTAGTTGTACTAAACATAATAATGTGGTGTATTTTCCCATTACAAACACAGGCTTACACTCACAGTGTCATACCCATTTATTTCATGGTTTTTCTTACAGCATCTGTTCACGCAGCTAAGATCACAGACGTGTTTAACTTTATTATGTATTTTAGTGGAAATTATAAAATCTAGATAAATCTTAAGAAAGATTTGATTTTCGACTGGATCGTTTTAAAATTTAAGGTAAATGTAAAATTCGTTCAAAAAATATTTGTTTTTAAATACTATTCTAATCGGTCTTAATCCAACGACTATGTACTGTAAACTGATTATAGTATGTAGTATATGTATAGCAAAATGTCACTCGTTAAAAGACATTTTAAAACCACAAACATTGTGTAGGTAGTAGAGTATGTATATCTGTGTATATCTGGTGTTGTGTGTGAGTGTTTTTGAAGGAGTAACATAATTACAATACAAACATGCTAAAATGAACCTAAACAATTGTATGTGTACTTGACACAGTACTAAACTAATATGGGACTTTCTATTAAAGAATTTCTGTTTACAGTTTGCAAATCATGTAATAAGTTTTGCGAATGTTAAAAGCAAATAAATATACAAAATTCTTCACAAATCTGCATATTATGTTTGCTGTCAAACAAATTTTCCCATGTATTTTTATTAAATGTTTCTTTTCCATTTAATCTTTTGGAAACCTCCATATAACTTTTCTTACAAAATACATACCCTTATACCCTTTTATGTTTAGAACACATACATTTTATACCCACATTTCTTTTAAAAACTTTAATAACTTACATTTTTGGTCCCTTATAAACATCGTCATGGAATGCGGCAACATTTGTGGCAGCAGCACCTTCTCCCCCATCACCTCCTCCACTAGCAGTAGTACCTCCAATATTTGTAAAACCATGTTGACCGTCTGTGGTTGGAGTTAATAGTGTTGGAGTTAGAATTATAGTTGAACCGTTTTGTTCATTAATGTTGTTTTGAGATTGCGTCATCTCCTTGGGGAATTTGTGCAATTCTAATTTGCAATGTGTTTTCAAATCTATGTCTTCTGCTATGGTTTTAGTGCTAGTAATAAAGCTTTGGCTGCTGCCTAAAGGATTTGTTGGATGCTTGTTGGGGTTATCAGCTGCAAATAAAAAAAAATATGTTTGAAGTGAATGATGGGAGAAAGAAAATATAAAATATTTTTGAAATAGTGTTGGTAGGACTTAAAGAAACCCAGCAGTTTGACAAAGAGTCAAAACACCCGTAAAATACAGTTCTTTTTTCTAATTTGCGCACTTGATTGACTTTAAATTGTGTATATTGAGTCATTTATTTCAAATTTTCTTGTTTTTATCATAGTTCATTAAATGGTCATAATAAATCCAATTCAGTTCTCGAAAGAGCCAAATGATTTACTCCTAGGACAAGCCCATGTTAAAATAACTAGTCACATAACTGAACTGTTGCTAGTATTAACCCGTATTGGTAGGAGTTGCATACCATGGCACCCCATACTACAGGGAATATTTTTACTCAATCATGCTTATTGTTGTTGACAACTAGTTGTTTAGTTTGTTAAATTGTTAAGATTCTATGGAGTAGTAATTAGAAAAGGATGGCATATATACGCAGATCAGTTGACAGAAACAGCCACCCTGCAACCTGCTTACTTGGATTACCTAACCTACACTTCCAAGCATAAAGTCAGAGATTACAAAAATTACTCTTATGTAGAAACTTCTACACAGAGGGGGAAAAAAATATACACGCCTGGTACCAAATTGACAACGAATTTTTCAATAACATCTGTTTTCAAGTAGATACATACATACAACAACAACATGTAATGTTGACCACGCAACGTTGTCAAATAGTTAATAAACGTGGTAAGCTCACTATTGACAACGGATTTTGAGCTTACCACATTTATTAACTTTTAGACAATGGATTTGCATAAAATTTTGATTGCGACAACGAATTGTTGCAATGTTGACAACGTTGCGTGGTCAACATTACATTTTGTTGTTGTATGTATGTATATACTTGACAACGGATGTTATTGAAAAATTTGGTGTCAATTTGGTACCAGGCGTGTATATTTTTTTCTCTGTGTACAATACAATGGGTATTTTGCAAACGTAATAGCAGAAGTCGTAATAGTGTCTAGTCGAATTCGTATTAATACAAAACTGGAGAGGAGACCATCTACTCGTTACGTTCTCTCTCTCGACCTTTCCAGGTCGATTCAAGTTATAGTTATGCTCCGAAAATTATTATTTAACGAATTTAGACCTAATTAATAACATACATATATAAATCCCGAGACTTTCAAATGACAACATCAGTACTTTAAATGTTCATATACCTCAACTTACTACCATCTTCAAAACCTAATTTCGATATCTACCTATTATTTTGACTCACACATCTACTAACATCGAATAACTTAGGGAATACTATAATTCACTATTAAAAAGTGTTGTCGTTTTAATTAAGTTGTCATAAAAGTTGATATATTAGGTTAGGTTAGGTTGATAGGGGGATGTAGGTATACTACATCAAATCCGAAGAAATACATCTAGGCCACTATCGGGCCTGTTGTGCGCTCCTTATCATGAAGAAAAAAAGGGAACTGAATGAATTATTTTTCAGTGTTCAGAAACTCAGTTTCCTGAACGTAATTCCTAAGAATCTTACAATCAGTGTTAGTCAGGAATGTTATTTCCGGAATAATATCACTTCCAAGATACTTGGATCTAACTTCGACGAATGCCTGGCAGTGGCAAAGAAAGTGCTTAAGAGTTTCACTGTCCTCTCCAAATGCTCTACATTCGTCTGAATCCGCACGTCCAATTTTACATAGATGTGCTCGTAATCCTGTGTGTCCGCTCAGAATATGTACCATCATACTAACTTCCAACTTACTCATTTTGAGGAGATTTTTCGTCTTCCTCTCATCAGAGTTACCCCATAGGATCTTCGTGGTTCTATCCAATGTTTCATTATTCCAAGAGGTCTTATGGGATTCTCTCATCCATATTTTTAGTTCAGCTTTTGTTGCGTCGAATGGTTTTGCGTTTGCCAGGTTAACTGCCTCAAGCTCCCTTCCCTTTAAAGCTATTACATTCGCCCTTTCGTTACCGACTAGTCCCGAGTGGTCTGGTACCCATTAAACATGTGAACCTTACCTCTGGGAGAGTATTCAGTTAAAGCTTTCTTACAATCCAATACGGTCTTAGATTTAGTTCTATCATCTGATATCACCCTAATTGCCTTCTGGCTGTCGGTAAATATATTTAGCGATTTGGGCACCATATTTATTCTAATCCAATTAAAGCCTGTCTGGAAGCTTGTGTTATGATTAAAGTTGCTATATTAAAAAAATTATATTTTTCCTTTCCCTTGAATTATACACTGAAAATAATAGCTTTACGAAAAAATACTACTTTTTCGTAATATTTACGAAAATTACGTGTATAACACGAAATATTATTTAATCAAATCTTTTTCTAATTTTATCCCATATTATGTAAAAACTGTAAACTTTTTTAAACAAGTACATGTACACTTTTCTATAATATTTACCGTCTACATAAGACAATACCATATTAATAATGTCAAACATTTATTAAAAAGACAATAGCAAGTTGATGACAGGGCAATTGCATAATAATTCTGATGCTGCTAACATTTCACTATTTAACTGTCATTTTGCATAAACTTTCATTTTAAAGTTTTCATATTGTTTGAAAATGAAAATAAGAATTCAAAAAAAATCACACTTTTACTCATTAAAAATCTCAATAGCCTTAAGAATGAAGTGAACACCCTACCCAACCAACCGCTAGGACCCACTAACTTGGAAGCTTAAAGAAGGAAATGTAAAAAAATTAAATGCCACGAGACTTTCTCTTTAGTCTAACAAGACTTTTGTCTCTTGTTTTTTTAATAACATAGTAATCCTGGCAGCATATAAGACAAGAAAAGAAAGAATATCTAGAACAACAATATTATTCTCATCAGCAGAAACATCAACATCATCACCACTTGCCATCCAGTTTTCCTAAAACATGCAGTTTTCAAACAGTAGTTTTATTGCTGCTGCTTGTTTTAGTTTTGACATTGATGGCGTTGATGATGTTAATGATAATATGCTCGTTGCTTGCTGCTGCTCACCCTGACTATCAGTCTGACAATGATTGTGTTCTTCCTGTTCTACATAAATAGTTGTTGTTGGCGCTGCTATAGCAGTTAGTTCCCTTTATAATTGAATGTTGCTGCAGCAATTTCTAATAAAACTCGGTTAGAGTGGTAATAGCCTTTGGCTACCAAAATGAATAGATTGGCTTGACTTGGTTTTGGCTGTGTAAACGATTATGAGCTTATGAAAAGTAGAAAACGAGTTACTAATTAAATCTATTGTTTGAAAACTTTTAAGCAATAGCGTGGTAAAATTAATTTTTTTATATAATATTAATATTATACATAATATGAAATTATTATTGTTGGTGGAAAACAAATGAAAATTTAAGTAGAAAAGAAAATTAAGAGAAATATAAATATTAGTTTATTTTAGAAAACTGACTATTTAGGAAAGAAATGAATTTAAGAAAAATTGCCTCTCTAGTATAATGAAAAGAACGAAATTCCAGCTATAAATTTTTAACAGTTTTAGCACACTATCACTTTAATAAAGCTATATTTTTTCTTTTTAAATTAAAATACATTTTGTTGCTAAGATCCTAATCATACAAATTTTAATAATTGAAATATTTGAAAAAAATCGTTATTCTATAACACTAATCAGCAATGAAATCCTGCTTTAAGAAAAATGATAATAGAATTAAATACCAAGTAAAAACTTGCATTGAAAAGTAGGGTGTTAAAATGCAATATTATATTAATATACAAAACCTACATCTGCTTTTAATTTATTTCTGTAAGGTCGAGTTTCTGAAATATTCTTGTTTCACCGACATCATTCCAAATTATATTTTTTTGATGTTTTAAACATTTAAGGTTTAAAACATAGAAAAAACAAGTAAGAAATTATAGTCGGGCGAGTCGACCATATGATACCCTACACCTGCTACAAAAATAAAATGTGATTTAGTTTTCATAATAAAGTAGTTGAATTGTACCTTGCCTCAGATAATTAAGCCATTTATTATTGAATAAAATTGTGGACATTTAAGTCAAATTTTGAAGGGGGCTTTGTATAGGTGCTATGGTCAAATGAGACCCTATAATTATAAAATTCATGAGAGTCATGAAGGCTAGTATAGCACTTGGTTTTGCAGCTTTTTGTTGAGATACGAGTATATTAAACATAATTATGAATTTAAAAGCCCTATTCGTCGGGTTGGGGGCTAGGTGAAATAATGGACCGATGTTAACCATTTTCAATAGGCTTTATCTCCGGTATTATAGAAGATCATGTGCCAAATTTCATTGAATTATCATCAAAATTGCGACCTGTAGTTTGATTACAAGGTTTACAAGCCCTATTCCGGGGTTCAGTTGTATGGAGGCTAGGTGAAATAATGGACCGATGTTAACCATTTTCAATAGACTTTATCTCCGATACCATAGAAGATCATGTGTCAAATTTCATTGAATTATCATCAAAATTGCGACCTGTAGTTTGATTACAAGGTTCAGGGTTCAGTTGTATGGGGGCTAGGTGAAATAATGGACCAATCTTAACCATTTTCAATAGGCTTCGTCCCTGGGACAATAGAAGATCATGTACCAAATTTCATTGAATTATTGCGAACTGTAGTTTGATTACAAGGTTTACATGGACGGACAGACGGACGGACGGACATAGCTAAATCGACTCAGAAAATGATTCTAAGCCGATTGGTATACTTTAAGGTGGGTATAGGACCAATATTATTGTGCATTACAAACATCAGCACAAACCCAATATACCCTCCCCACTAAAGTGGTGTAGAGTATAAATATTTTTTTGAAGACCAGTGTAATCAATGTACATATTTGTTTAATGTGCTTAACAATATATGTCAACAAATATTTAAATTGTGCATGTTATTAACTGTTTAAATAAACAAACAAAAAACATAATGCCAAGCAACCTTCGCAAATTTATAAAAACAACATTAAATTTGCAAAAAAAAA